GACAAATGACTAGGAACCTCTAATTTTTAACTTTTCTTGCTTCTGCTTCTTCTGCTTCTGCTGCTTCTTTTTTGCATGTGCATACTGGGTATTCAACCTAGAGCATTCACACTGAGTTACATTTGCAGCCCTTTTTTTATTTGGAGACGGGGCCTTATCAAATTGCTAAGATGCTGAGGCTAGGCTCAAATTTGAGAACCTCCTGCTTAAGTCTCCCAGAGTACTGTGATCCCAGGCATGTGCCACCATGCCCAACACAGCGGCCTTCTTTAAAAAAATGTATTTGGATGGCTGGGGAGCTAGCTCAGAGGCCTAAGCACTTGCCTGGCACACCCAAGGTCCTGAGTTCAATTCTCAGTACCAAAAACTAAAAATAAATAAATAAATAAATAAAACTATTAAACAAAATGTATTTGGTATAGGGTCTTACTATGCAGCTTGGATGCTTAGTGATCCTCCTGTTTTCAGCCTCCCCAGAGCTGGTATTACAGGTGTGTGCCACCATGCCCAGTCTCAGTGCACCCACGGTGTGTGTGTGTGTGTGTGCGCGCGCCCTGAGGATTGAACCCTAGTCCCCATGCTTGCTTACGCAGGTGCTTAGTATGCTGAGCTATCTTGCCAACCCACGGCTGCTTTTTTATGGAAATATTTTAATAACTTGATTCTTTCACAATTACTTTTTTAAAAAGTGTTTTCCTCCTTCTGGGACAATTTAGGCAATTTATTTCTTTATTTTTGCGGTACCAGGGATTGAACTTGGGAATCAAATTGGGTTCCTTGTATTTGCCAGGCAAGCACTTATGCCACTGAGCTAAAATATCCCCAGCCCCTTAGGGCAATTTATATTCCTAAAAGTTGTCTACTTAGTATTTTCAAATTTAATAGTCTAAACTTGTGTTACTATTTTTTTTTTTTTTTTTAAAAAGGAGACAAGATGTTGCTATGTTGCCAGGTCCAAGCAACCCTACTGCTAACTAGCTGGGACTCCAGGTTTGTACAACAGCGCTTAGCATCACATTTTTTTTTTTTTTAATTTAAAAGTTAGTGTAGGGCTGGCGAGATGGCTCAGTGGTCTAAAGCACCTACTTAGAACAAGCTTGGCAAAGCACAGGGACCACGGTTCGATCCCCCAGCACCACATGCCAGTCAGCCCCGCCCCCTGGTGGGCTGAGCTGGCCACACACACAAACACACACACACACACACACACAATAAATAAATAAATAAATAAATGTTAAAAGTTAGTTTAGTGGGTGCAGAGGCACATGCTGGTAACCCTAGCTCTGAGGGGACTGAGGCAGGAGCGCTGCAAGTTTGAGGCCATGCTGTGCTATACACTGAATTCATAGCTAGCATAGAGACTGTCTCAAAAGACAATCAACAACTCCCCCCCCCAACAAACAAAAGTAAAAGAAATAAAAGAACTTACATAACATCTCCTTCATGGTTTCTAATTATGTGGGGTCCCTACCTGAAACAGAATTCCTAGATTGGCCAGGTCTCTGTCTACATCAGAATCAATGACCTGCAGCCTGCGGCAAAAGCTTGTCTGCTGCCTGTTTCTGTACAGCCTATGGTTTGTACATTTTTCCCCAAAGGATAGTTTAGATGTATGAAAACATACAAGCATTTAAATTTCAGTATCTATAATAAGCTTCTGTGGAAACCCAGCCACGCCCGCTTGTCTGCATACTGTCTGGTAGCTCTCATGCTACTCAGAGACCCCACAGATCGCAAACACTAAAATATTCACTACTGGTCCTCCATAGAAAAAGTTTGTGATTTATGGTCTGTGGGACACGAGCTTTGTCGGACAGGTATATCTACTAAACTCCAGGTTTATTACGTTATCTTGGTTTCTAGGTTCTTAATATATTTGATCAAAGTCAGAATGGTATATTAAATTTTCTCATAACAACAGAGGTTTTGCCAAACTTCTCCTGTATACATTACTGTTTTTGTTTTATAGATACAATCTCTGTGTTTCTGTGAGCTGAGGCTGATATAGTTCAATGTGGAGAGTCTTCTTTATAAAAATAAAACGTTTTCTTTGTTTTACTAGATATCTTACTGAGCTCTACCAAGTCTTATTAACACCAGAATCTTGATTTCTTTGTGAGTCCTGATGTAACTTGTCTAACACTTTGCATTATTTTGTTATAGGAATCACTTATAAATGTAGTGCAGTTGGATTTTAATTTTCTGGAGCTAGACACATGCCTGTAATCCCAGCCCTCAGAAAGCAGAGTCAGGAGGATTATAGCGAGCTCAAGGTCAGCCTGGGCTACAACAGTGAGTTCAGGGACACCCTCCCAATAAAATAAAATAAAATAAAATTTTTGATACATTCTGAAAGATCCCATTAATAGAGTTTAACCTACTCATATTCACTATTGTAGACTTTTTTTTTTTTTTTTTGGCGGAACTGGGGATTGAACTCAGATCCTTGAGTTTGCCAGTCAAGCGCTTATCCTACTGAGCCATCTCCCCGGCCTCCTCGTAGACTATTTTTATCTTTTGCTCATAAACTTTTCTTTCCCTAGAATGATGGGAAAGATATATAACTCATCTTAAAATTTAGTGGAATACTTTTACTCTTGTGTAAAGTGTTCTTAGTTTAAAAAATACAGAAAACTCCAAAAATCACTCATATTTTTACTTTCGGTGTTAATCATTGTCAAAGATTTTTTTTTTTTTTTTTTTGGACATTTTTAGTTCTACTGGTAGCGATGGCTCAAAGAAGTAAAAAAAAGGCAAAGGAGAAAACAGGGACTAAATGGCAATGTGGTTTAGTGTATGAGACCAGGCTGTGCTACTTCTCAATGTTCCATGTGCTGCACGATGGGGAAGACAGGTTTATACCTAAAAATATCCCTAATGAGATAGATACCTACATACCTTTATACCACTTCATTAAAAATAAATATAAACTAAAACTAAACATAAAGATACAGATGTAAAAAGCTCTATATTACCCAATGTGAAAGATCAGAAGAGCTAAGCATGTAGTTTAAACTCCACTGATCATTATTTTGTCTATGAATCTTAGGTTTAGCTAACACCTGGATCCCTTTTTCAAAGAGTTAACTAGAACAGTTAAGGCCTAGAATTATAAGGTATTTTCTGAAAAAACGGAGATCACACACTAGAAATACTGCAAACATCATTTCTGTTTTATTTTTTTCTTTTTCTTGAAGACAGGGTCTAGCTATGTAGTTCAGCTGGTCTGGAATTCATGATGTAGCCCAGACTAGCCTTGAAAGTGTGGTGCTCTTCCTGCCTCAGCCTCCTGCCTCAGCCTCCCGCCTCAGCCTCCCAAGGGCTGGGATTATAGGCATGGGCCACCACGCCTGGCTCCCTATCTAATTTAAATAGTCTTATTATAGAACCCAGTTCAGAACCAGGGCTAGGCCAGCAGGGCTGGTGGCCCTTTGATGGGTGGCCAGACCAAAGGATGGGCTATATGTAGGGGAGCCAACAGCTTGTGGTGTAGATCAGTGTGAAAAGCTGTACTGTGCCAAGTCTTCTCTTGGAAATTTAGAAGAATGGAAAAAAAATTATAGATTGGATAGAGAGAGACAGCAAGTAGCTGACTCAAGCATTGATACCTTACTCAACTATAGAGCCTATTCTTTCTGCAGTCCGTTTTGAGTATTTCTGCCCTTTCTGAGGAAAAGAAAGTATATTTAATTCTCTCTGGATTCCTAAACATATATGTCCTTATGACAAACTTGCTATCATAATTTAATTGAGACAGAGCCAGAGATGTAGCTCACTGGTGCAGCGCCTGCCTAGCAAGTGCGAGGCCCAGAGTTTGATTCCTGGTACCAAAAAACAAAATAGTAAAATAGTAAAAATGATAATAATAATATTAATAATTTGAGACAGTTTTCCTTCATAATAAAAAAATCTGTTGCATGCATTTTGACTTTTTTTTTTTTTTTTTTTGTGGAACCAGGGATTGAACTCAGGCCCTTGCGCTTGCGAGGGAAGCACTTATTCCACTGAGCCATCTCCCCGGCCCTTGACTTTCTTTTTATTTTTAACTTTTTTTTTTTAATTTTATTTATTTATTTGTGTGTATGTGTGTGTGTGTGTGTGTGTGTGGCCAGCTCAGCCCACCAGGGGGCAGGGCTGGCTGGCATGTGGTGCTGGGGGATTGACTGTGGTCCCTTTGCTTTTGTTAAGCTTGTTCTAAGTAGGTGCTTTAGACCACTGAGCCATCTCACCAGCCCTCTTTTTAAATGGAAAGAAAGCTTCTGTCCAAGAGAGGGACAGGTGGTCCCTTTTTCTTTTGGAAACAGGGTCTCTCTCTGTATGCTTTTTAACTTTCTTTAAAAAAACTCATTTGGTACAGTGTCTTGCTACACAGCTCAGACTCGTGGTGATCCTTCTGTCTCAGCCTCCCCAGCCCTGGGATTACAGGTGTGAGCCACCACACCTGGTTTCAGGGTGGCATGGCACCTGGGATTGTGGGGCCAACATGGCATGTGGTACTGGGCATTGCACCTGGAACCTTGTGCTTGCCAGTCAGGTGCTTAGACTGCTAAGCTAAGCTATCTCCCCAGCCCACATTTAACTTTTAAAATAATTTTTACCAACACACATAATTCTATAAAGTTAGGTGAAATGAAACTGCATTTTGACAAATGAGAAAACCAAGGAAAAGTAGGCTCAAATAATTTGTTAAAGAGACACAGCTTCTCAATGGCATAATGATGATAATACAAGATAGCTGTTTCCTCACCAAGTACCAATTTGTTTGACATGTGTCCTTGTTATTAATCTGTTTTCCATTATGCTTCTTTCTTCCCAAACAGCAGCCACACCGACAAGTGTGTAAGGCAGCAGAACAGGTCTCCTGAGCCAGGTGCAGTGACACATCCCTGTAATCCTAGCACTCAAGTTGAGGCAGGAGGATTGCTGTGAGTTCTACGGCAGCCTGAACTGTATAGCAAGTTCAAAAAAAGCAAAAACAAAAGAACAGGTGTCCTCCTTACCTGTGTGCTGTATGGTGGTTATCGCCTGAGCATTGCACTGCAGCTGTAACAAGTGTCGCAGCATGGCCACTGCCCAAACGTTCAAATCCGCACACAATTCAGGAGTCACTGCTGCTTTCAGACCCGTGGTGAGGGCAGGTGGGCTGGCTGCTTCAAGTTGCCTACACAGGGCAGAGACACTGAGAGCACACAGAAACTTATGCTCTGGGCTATGGTTTTCAGTATGGGCCAAAAGGCTGAAGACAGCATTATAATTATTTTCATACTTCCCATTAAGATTACATCCAGGAATTTGGGTCTGAACTACTTCGCCAATTTCCTCTCTTTCTCCCTGGCAGTAGTTGAATGTCTCGACCAGACTCTTGCTTTCAGGTAAACATACGTCTTTGTTATTAATCTCATCACAAATCCTCCTTACAACTTTGTGCACATCTTCGAATCTAGCCAAGAGAGTCAACCTCAGGGCAACGTGGCAAAACACACCCAGCGTGAGGAGCAGCCCTCCTAGAGAGCACTCTATGCTGTGATACAGCTCCCAGGCCTGCTGCATACACTCTTGGCTGCAATACTTGGCATAGCTGCATCCATGGCAAGGAACCATGGCCAAAGTATGCTGCAAACATTTGTGACAGTAGAGGTCCCCATTGGTAACTCTGGTATCCCACCTGCTCTCTAAGCCCTGAGGCAGTGGTGGCATTTTTCCCGGGTTGAGGACACTCACAAAAGCATCCTCCTTCACTAGGAGCTCTCCTGGGACAATGTCTTTTGTGGCAATCAGACAGCGGCCTTTTAAAGGGTCTGTGCATAAGCACACAGATGACGATGCACTGGAAATTTCTTCATTCTCTTCTGTTAGGTCCACACCCTCGAAGTCTTTGGTTAAAGTCATGGGGAAGGTTTCTGGGAGGTTCTCCTTTCCTTGTATCTTCATTTTCAGACAGCAGAGATTTTCCTGCAGAATTTGAAAAGGGGAAGCTGCTGGGCTTGGCTTGGCAGTGAAATTACTTTCAAGATCACTGATAGTTTGGCTTGCCTCCTTCAATCTTCTGAGGGTCACCAGGCATTCTGCCTTACGCAACAACAGCTTGGGTCGCAGTCTTTCTGGATATCCATGCGTCAGTGCCCTGATGATATCGTTGAGACAGGTCTGAAAACAGAAAGGAAGCCTCAAGATGATCCTTGGTCCTTATTTTGCAATCTATGTTGAAAATCTTTCCAAAACTTTACAGGAAAGTCAAGAGTTATTAGCATATGTGCTGCTGAAGTGAGCACTTAAGAATTATTAAAGTAGAACAAATACGACCAACAGCTTATTTCTTTAAATTATATTCCACTGTTGTTTTTTTGTTTTGTTTTGCTGTCGGTTTTTTTTAAGGAGGTGGATTCTCCTAAAATACAAATTTGATTTTGGTCACTTCTTGTTTTAAAAATTCCACTGACACAATTCTGAGGGCTTTGCAGATACTAAGGACATGCTTTGCTACTGATTTACAGCCTTATCCTGTGTGATCTTTGGGTTTTTTTTTTTTCCATAAATTTATTGAGAAACAAATAGCAATGAGACAGTTTCAAACCAAATTGGTAGGACAGTTTCAATAATTAACACATTGTATAATTCTTTCTTTTTTTGGGGGGG